ATTCCACAACCTCCTTCACCACTCCATCAAATTTTTCACCCGTCACCATCTTAAGATCACCCCTTAACACCTCAACTTATTTCACCACTTCACCCCTCAACACCTCTACTTCTTTCACCACTCCATCTATTTTTCCTTCCACTTCCCCCTTATGCCTCTCAAGTGTATCTTCGACTCTCTCAAGTTTCTCTTCGACTCTATTAAGTTTATCTTCGACTCTTGATTGTCTTTGCATGATATCAAATTGGATTTTTTTTGATATCAGCCAATTCAGATATCAAAATGTCGAAGTTACTCTATTTTCCCTCACCGTCATCCCCTAATACAACCATCTCTTCTTTCTTCTCCTCTGCCTCCTCTACCTCCTTGCCAATAACCTTCAAAATTAAATTACAATATTAAGACATTGATTATATTCTTAATATTATTTAATTACATTTATTACCCTTTCGTGCTTCCTCGGTCTATCCAACTTCAACTTCGCTATCACTCTAACCACCACCTCCTTCCCCCATGCACGGATGCGTGCCACTCCGGTTCTTTCATAAGCCGGCACTACCTCACAGCCCGACCAAAAATCGAATAGTGCAACCTGCATGTATAATAAAATTTATAATTTTATATAATAACTATATTATCATTTTATATAAAAACACAAAAAAGTTCTTCAAGTTATTTACCTCTAAGGTTGCTATGCAACCTTTGAGGTATCTCTGGCTGCCTTTTTAAAGGTGATTATTGATTCAATCAATCTCGAATGGACATATTTAGCCCAATTGAATTCACCCTTCAAGCCTTCATCGCAAATGAGCTTCATATAGTCCTTGTTCGTTGACGTATCACCCATTGGACAAAGAAAGATACCGATAAGGTACAATAGAACTTGGCCTTCAGCTCATCCCCCCCGTAAGATCCACTTTTTATTTCCTCTTCAAGTTTAGCATATGTCACCTTCTACTTCAAACCATATTTGAAGGCAAGTGATTTCCAGTTTTTACTCTTACAGACTTCTACAACACTTTTTCCTTCATTTTCTACCCCCAATATGGCTTCAGCACATGGGATCCCGAGAGGAAATGAAAAATCACCATACTTAGCACTACATTGTTTGACATCAAATTACGCCATCAAGGATCGACACAATTCCCTCCGAATAGGTCGATCCCTTACTCCTACCAACGATCCAAACCCTATTTCTCCCAGCACATTCAACTGACCCTTCTCCTTAAGGTGTTTAACTAATGAATTCACCCTTTTAATGTTGCACCTTGTCGACACTTCCTATATTTTTTAACAATATATAATGTTATAGTTCTTATATATTTTGTATCAACGTATTTACAAGTTTAATGAATACCTTATTTTCATGTGCTTTCCTCCGTTCTTTGTATTCTTTACTATCATTCCTTGACTGTGTGATGTAAGGTTCCTTTTCAGCATCACTCATCGAATTCCATTTGGACCTCACATCTTTTGTTACCTAATATTAAGCATAAACGTTTCTTAATCAATACATTAACACTAAATAATACTCAATGTCAATTTCATTTTACATACCAAACCGCTCTGTATGCCATCTTCCTTCATCCTTTTGCATTCGGCCATACTGTCAACATTTAAAATTTGTCATCAATTTAATGTTATTAAATACTTTAATCCAATTACCATTTCAACAATAATAACAAAAAGACATTGATACTTACTAGAAGTACATATATCCACCCTTTGGTTGCATTTGAGTCTCGGCCTCAATTTCAAAGTCATCTGCGCCACCAACAATTTTTCCACCCATTGACTCCATTTTTCCTTCATATATCAGTTTACGCAAATCAAATTAAATACTTGTTACATAAACTTTATTCAATATACAAATATAGATAACTACTCTTGTGGTAAAATGGTTTTCTTCAAAAGAATTTAAATGGCCACTACAAAATGTGTCGGCACATTTATACAACCTATAATATCATTTTCTACCTATAATATTTAATAAAAGTGTCGACATTTATATTTTATCTTGAATATCACTTTCTACCTGTAATCGGTCTCAAATGCTTCTTTACTCTAAAACCCCAAATAACACATAAAAACCCTATTTGTGATTACTATAATAATAAAAAACTAGGGTTTCGACAATATACTTTTCGATTCGACTGCAGCAACAACAAACAAACTTCGCTTTAGAAACGCCTTCTGAAATGCAGCAACAATTACGCTTCGATTTCAAAAACTCGTCCGTTCTATCTATTTTCAGAGGATATTTAGCTATGTCCTTTATATTTTCATCGGATATGTTATTTATATTTAATCGATACAACTACCAAAGTGTCGATATTTTTATGTCAGCTGTCGATACTTTCGAAAGGATAATTACCTATTTCTTTGAAATTATCGATAATTTATTACACATACTTATTAAAGTATCAACACTTTCAATATATCCGGTAGCGCTTTACCGGTTTTATCATTTTGATACCGGTTTTATCATATTTTTACATGTTATATCGTTGTGGATCGATACATTTTTATAAAGTATCGACACTTTATAGGCGCTAAAACTGCTTCTCTTTTAAATTCACAAAGTGTCGATACTTATATTAAAGTATCGACACTTTAAATATATCCAGTAGGGCTTTACCGGTATTATCTTTTCGTGACCCGTTTTGTCATATTTTTACCTGTTATATTGATATGGATCGATATATTTTTAATTTGGATCGACACAAACCGACAAGTTAAGTTTGTCGGTTGCCAAATTTTTTAATATTTCTTTATGATTTAGACCTACTACATTATTATTACTCAACATTTTCTGTAGCGCTAAACCGAATTTGTTAAATATCTTCTAATGTATCTGGTAACGTCGTATATTAGCCGTATATTAACCCGTCTTTCCTGAGACAATCCCCAAATTTTCCGTTATATCTCAAATAATAGCATGTCTTTTAAAATTGGGTAAAGTATACAAATAGTCCCCCAATTATAGAGCATTACTTTGTTTATTCTTCGATTATTAAACAAAATGAACCTCGACTATAGGGCGTTGTTTTATTGAATCATCCAACTATTAAAAGTTATAAAATGATTTACCTAACCATTCATATGTTCTAAACTCATCATTTTATGCTACAATCGTTTGAGTTGGACGTTAAGTTATTGATTGGGATATGATAAACAAAATTATCCCCCGACTATAGGAAGTTATTTTATTGAGTCCATTGATTATTAAAAGTTACAAAATGATCACCTGACTATTTATATGTTATAAACTCATCATATTCCATTAAAAAATTGACATTCGTCTAAGATGAACGTTAACCTATTGATTGAGATATGATAAAATCATATTTTAATGATGTCTATTAGCATCGCCGTTTTTTTCAAACGACATAATATTTCAAGCATTGACTTAATAATATAATGTAAACGAATAGTCGATCCATAAAATACAACTCAAACAGTTATGTGATCATATTTTATTATATCTTAATCAACAAGTTAACGTCCGACTCAGATGACCACTAATTTTTTTTTAACAAAAATGACGAATTTAGAACATATGAATAATCAAATTACTATTTTATAATTTTTAATAGTTGGAGACTCAACAAATTAACGTCTTATAATTATACAACCATTTTAATGCAATAAATGGGGAATAAATGATGTATATTATGGGTGAAATTAATGGGTAAGTTAATAATAAGTTAATATCTTATTTAATGCCTAAATTAAAATAAAACTAACTTTCCATAGTTCTGCCGTTCTACACATTAAGGGGAAATAAATCCCATTTAATATGGGTGAATGAAGTTGATGATTTAATACTAAATTAATTACCCCTTTTAATGCTTATTATAAAATCAATGGTAAACTACATCCATGATCACTTAGTTATAGTGAGATTTAAATTTGACCTCCGAACTTTTAATTTTATCAATCTGACCACTCAACTATTTAAACGAAGTAAATCAAGTCACATGTCGTTAACATTTAACAGAAGAGAGAATTGACAGTTAATAAATTTTATATAATTACATATTTCATCAATTTAGTCCTAATTTTAATTTAATTTAATAGATTTAATCTTATAATTAAATAATTTTTCTTCCAATTAGATTGTGACACTGACACCATCTAATTAGAAGAAAAATAACTCACAAGGGAAGATGAAAAAGGAGGTTTCAATCTTAGGATGTATGAGAGAGCTAATCGCAAGCTTGCCATTAAGTCAAACCTTATATTTTTATTTGGTAGTTAAAAAAACTTGGTATAATTATACATTTGATTATTAGTACTTTTTATTTTATCAATTTGGTCATAATTTTAATAAATTAAAATAAATTTAACTCTCAAATCAAAGAAAATTAAGAGCTCTTAAATGGGGGAACATGGGACTCAAACTTGTGTTCCTTAGCAACTGATATTTACTTGACTTGAAAATTATAAATTTTTAATTGGTAATTGATATTATAATATGACAAATTATAAAATAATTTTCACTATGAAAAGTGGTAGCCATCGGCCAACTTATAAAAATTCTTAAAAAAAAAAACAATTCAACAACCTTCTCTTTCAAATACAATTATCCTCTAATAAAGAAAATGAAAGATGAGGTAGCCATCGGCCAATTTATGAGGTACAATTGTTGTGGGAATTAGTTGATTAAATCAACTCTATTTACATCGTTATTAATTATAATATTTTTAAAAAAATTTAATTAACTTTAATTCAAAGATCAAAATTTTGATGAACTGTAAATATTATAATTACACTTCAAATGTTTTACGAGAAATAATTATTTTTAACTTAAAAATATTTTATTATTTTTAATATGGTGTCGTAAAATGTATAGTTATGAGGCCAAGATACATTATTTTTCGTTTCTTGGATGTGTATCTAAATATCAATATTCCATATTCAACAAAATCTTCAAAATAGTTGAAATGCTCTCTCTAAACTTTTATGTTAAAGAAAATAACAAACAAATGAAGCTATATATTAACATAGATGAGAGAGAATGGGAAAAACGTTCTCTACTCATGCTTATCCTCGATGATTCGATCCTCATCCTCGAACGGTTGGGTTGCAAGTTTAGAGGTATACATACAATTGAAACCGGTGCTCCGAATTTAACAATGTCATGCCATATCATTAGGCTTTTGTCTGTCTAGATCCCTGGAGCTGAAAGCAACGTAGACATGGATTGCAGCCTGTTCGCTATCTCGGTGAATGATGGTCTAGATTTGGGATCATGTGACCAGCATTGTTCCATCAGCTTTCTCCAATCAGGATCACAATGTTCCGGAATTGGAGGTCGAAGAGTGTTCTGCACTATCCCCCCTGCAATCACATTCGACGAATTGAACGTTGGTCCAATTTTAAGTGAAAACCAGAAGCTTTTTGTTTAGTTTTCAGATACATATAGCAAAAAGGCAATACAGCATTTTAGCTAAATATGCATTCCATAGTGGATATGATATCATGTAAACCAAAATCGTACCTATAATAGCACCACAATGCATATGGGCATACGGCTCCTCCTCAGTCAAGATTTCCCACATTAAAATTCCAAATGAGTACACATCAACCTGCCAAACCAAATATTAGAAATTCCGGTTCTAACGAAAATATTCATTCTTTCCTTCACGGTGGTAAGACATACTGACCTTCTCAGAAACATGGGTGTTGTTGCCATTTAATAATTCTGGTGCCATCCATGGGAGGGTTCCTCGCACACCTCCGGAAACAAGAGTATTGCGCTTGACTCTTGATAATCCAAAATCTGCAACCTGCAGGAACAATACATAGAAAGCTATGCTTCAAGTGAAATGTCAATGAAAACCTTCCTTCACTCTAAGCCTTCCTAGCACAAGAAATAACATCATATAGACTAGTTATGAGGGGAAACATAAAGGTCTTAGGGGTACGCTATTGTACACAAGCATATAGGCATTCATCTTCAACCGAAACAATCGATTTGGCTTTAACCAGAACTAAAACTAATCTTCTCTCTGGCCATTTATGGTCTCATGTAATAACATTAGGTACCGGAGAGGAGTTTGTCCGTAACTCTTACCTTGCATATGGGTCGTTGGAGGTCCTTTAGATTGACAAGCAAATTGTCACATTTCAAATCAAAATGGACAATGTTTTTGGAGTGCAAGTATTCCATGCCAAAAGCTGCATCCATGGAAATTATAATCTTTTTGCGACAATCAAGGGATCTGCGTAAGAATTCCAAACAACCAGTAAGTGCATCATTAATGCGGGAAGGACTATAAAATTGAGAGGTTGAACCTAGGTTACCTATCCTTCTTGATTAGGACATTCCTAAGTGATCCATTGACCATATATTCAGTTACAGTCGCCAGAGTTCCTCTAGTTCCATCTGGTACTACTCCATAAAATGCAACCACATTTGGATGATGCAGATTTGAGAGGATCTGTGCTTCTCTCCAAAAGTCTTTGGTCTGTCAACCAAATATTCATCAGCTTTAGGCATGCAAATAACTGAAATTACTATGAAGAATTTGACCGCAAATTTGTTTAAAGATCTCAATAGTACTACAGATAGGTAACCCATTTTGGCTTGCTATATTACAAAAGCAAAGAATAAGCAAGGGAGGAAAATAACGACCCAGTTCAAGATGGCCACTGGAGTGGAGCATCATATGATTAATTCTTAGCTTCTTTTCTTTCACATTTTTTTCAACTGAAATGATCTTTCTCAACCAAACCCCACTCCAAAGGATAAAAAAAGGCCTTTATCCTTCATTTGAAAACCTCTATTTAAAAACTGAAGCAAAGATGACAACACACAGACTAAATTTTCTTGATAAAAGAATGTGCTTGTGATACATCTTAACATGTAAAAATATGTAATTTTGATGCAATCCAAAGTTGTTGGAAATTACTTTTAAGTTTAGAACAGAAAACCGTCCATAAACTATAAAAATAGATTATCCATCTCAAATTGCGGAAGAGAAGGGATGAATAACAGTAGCAGATATGTTTCCCTTTAAAAGGAGCCAATAAGAAGGCCGAAAAGGAAGAGCAAAAGTACCCCATGAATTTTCTTCCATAACATAACATTAATAATATTTTATAGACACTTTCCTTATTTGTTTTTGGAATGCAGTGCATAATTCAATTCACCTAGCCAGAAAACTATATTTAGGAATAGACACTGAAAATAAAGGGTGCGAAAAGGGGGGAAACTCTCTGCAAACATACCTTCCTGTCTTGCTTTGATGGTTTCTCAGAAAAGCAACTCCTTTTTATTCTCTTTATAGCAACATCTGTTCCCCGCCATTTTCCATGATAAACAGATCCAAATGTACCAGATCCTAGCACCCTCAGTTCTTCAAGATCAGCACTTTTAATAACCTGCACGTTAAGATAAGAAAACCTTAATACATGCTCAAAAGCTAATTTTACAAGGAGGAGAGGGTTAATCAGGGTTGATAATAGCCAAAAGTATTTGGTTTCAAGGGAAATATGACCAGAAGTTGATATATAATCAAATCTTCTATCAATTAGCCATCAATTTGATAACCATATCGAAGATTTTTAGAGGGACAAAATACAGTTGTGAGGGATAATTTTAAAGATAATTAGAAATAGACTAACTCAAAATCATGGTAAGGTAAGGAGATGAAGAAAAGAGAAAAGAAGATCAAATTATAAAATGATGCATAAGTAGCTTGTCTTCCACGTAGTCAACCAAGAGTATGCCATGGTCCTTGACACACCCACTGCATGGGTGATTTATAAATATTTTTTAAATAGATATAGGTAGGCACAAATACCAGTTTGAGAAAGAATTGCTTTTAAATCATTTCACTCCCCTCCCCCCCCCAAAAAAAAAAAAAGACTAGCATATTTTTTAATGATCATTACAATTGTACTATTCTTTTTTTGATTCACCAGTTGTGTTTCAATTGCCACTTTATACCAACTCGGGGATTTCAATGTAGATTAACTAAATGAAGCCTTATTCCCAATAAAAAAACAATAAAAATGTTTTTCCACCTCACAGCTTGAGGAAAACTAATACTTTTGTTTCAAAATTTTACCACACTTCTCACTAAACAACAATGCATGAACCGGTCATATATTGATTTTTTTTTACTGAAAACAGGTACAAGTTTTACACCGAACCTGCAAGCCATAGATGTTGGCTTCAATTTCAGCTTTGACAGCATTTTTTAAGGACTCATCCCTGTCTCGAACATCAGCTGTAGAATCCTATGAACAAATCCATGAAGCTACCTGAGTTTACTAGCATAAGTAAAAGTTACAAAATTATATTTTTATGGAAAATGTTAACAAATCTTACCTTAGACTCAGAATCTGCAATGACATCTCCGACCATTGAATTCTTGTGTACAGATCCTTGGAGAACCACCTTGTCAGCATTCAGATTGGGGTAAGTATATTCATCATCAATGAGAGGAACCTCTCTCCTAGCTACATCATTGGCTGGAATATCTGACATAGCATGAAGGTTTTCACCGAGCAAGTTTGAACACAGAACAGAGTCAACATAAACGATGGGTGAAGGCAACTTTGTTGATCCCATAAGCATATCTTCTTTAGATATATCTCCTCTTCGAATCACTTTCCCACTGAAACCAAAACATTCAGCTATATCAGATGTGACTTTGTCCAAGGTCTGTGGATGCTCTATGTTACTCCTAATAGCCAAGGATGAAGGAACCATCTTCTGAGTGACTTGCAAGCTTTTCTTTTGAGTACCAATAGCAAAACCCGAAGTTTGGTTGCGGTCTGCATTAGACAAATTGTTGTTATAACTCATAATTCTATCAGGGATTACGGAAGTTGGGCAATATTTGTGGAAACTAGAGTTAGGGTCCAGATTGGGTCCTGGTTGACTTCCTTCACCGGGTGGACATTGCCGACGGAAGATTTTCCTATGAGCAGGATCTACAGTGCCATTGACAGCTACCATATATTGGTAATTAGGATTGCTCTGCTGATTGGTGATAGCATCAAGGGAAGATGCACTTTCAGACTCATCATTAGGAATCAAAAATATCCTCAGCCTTTTAGAACCTAGCTTTCTAAGCCCATGGTATTCCTCTATCATGTTCTGAAGATCTTCATCAGAAGAAATAGATATAAGGGCATCAAGTTCCTCATTTGGAAGTTGATACTTGATTGAATGAGGTTGGTTACAAATATATGAAGTTCTCCTCACAAGCTCTTCCCAAGAAAGACAGTCCTGAATGGAAATAATGCGCGTCATTCCCCCAACATATCTGAGTTTACCATCAATTGGCCTTGGCAATATTTTTCCACCAAAACTGCACAATAATTTTATTTTCCCAGATTGAGTTACATCAGTAGCTCCCTGCCCATTAAAGTGGTTGGAACGAGGAGAGTGACATGCATAAATGGGTGCAGTAGGTGATTCAGAACCATTTGGATGGCTCCTATCGCAATTCAATTCACCAAAAGCCTTCCTTGTTATTCGTCCAATTTCACCTTCTTCCTTCTGGTATCTACTTATCTTTCCAACACAAAACCCATTTTCACCCCCTCTAAAAGAACCATTCACAGATGCAAAATCAGAAATGTCATAAGCACACTTGGAATCCATTCCTTTCAACACAAGAATTCGGGAATGATTGAACAAAGCTCTCTTCTTATGTGCCAGTTCTGCATATGGTCTAGTAGGAATGGCTCTTTTGCCAACACACTCCTGAAGCAACTCCATGGAGAATTCGTCACCTGTCCGTACAGATATATTATTATTGTTGCTGTTGTTATCATTATTACTATTATTTACATTCATTCCCACATTAGGAACAGCATATGTAGATCCTTGCTGAAACAATTGATCAGATAGGCCAGGCGTTTCCCTGACCATGTTCCTAAACAAGTTCCTAGGTCTGCTTACTTGCATAAAAACAATGTGTTGGCTCCGTGAAGCACTCTTTTCCTTTTCTATCCGCCAACAAATAATGGATAATAAGCCATTCTCGTATCAAACTTTCAACCTCACAATCAAAATCTAGGATTCCCCCCCACTCATCAAATCAACAGCAACAACAACATCTGTATTCTACTAGCAACCCAATTTCTCAATCAAATTCAATACACACATATCTATACATGACAGAAAGAACACAACTAATTTGCAAATCCTTTTGAATTCACAATATATCGGCTTTAATTCAAGGCAAAAATTTAGCTAGAAATCTAATCCTAACAAATGCCTTACTCTTCTACAAATTCCAGACCGTTGACCCAAAGGAAAAACATATGCAAATCAATCTTAAAAAAAAAAACCCTCAAAACAATATTTCAAGGTCATCGCTCAGGATTATGTACGACAAACCTAAAAAAATCAAATATAAAGCAAAGAATACATAATCTTTAACATAAATGACATAAGTTAATCTTAAAGGAAAATAGCGATACCTGGTAACTGATCTGGTTTGTGAAATCCCCGAGCTGACAACTATCGAGGATATTGAATTTGTATATTTTGAATTGATGGAGAGAGGCAAAATGAAAATGGACGGAGAACAGAGGAAAAAGGAATTTAAAAAAGAGAAGAAAGTGGGAATGGAGGAGAGAGCAAGTTACAATTTGAGGCATGTAATAGCTAGCATTGCCAAGAATTAAGCTGCATCCAGAGACGATCGCCATTCAAATAACAAAAATATCATGAAACAGATCAATACGATACTAATTTTCTGTTTCTATGTTTTAATTGTACGATTTTCCAGCGTGGAGTTGAGCTCCGAAAGTTGGCTTTCCTTTTCAACATTGAGTTTGGAACTGTTTATTTTGTACTATTACTATTTTTTACGATTTCTAACTGCATTAAATGTTAGTGTCTATTTATTTAGTTGTAATTGATTTTTTTAAAAGTAAATTATTAAAATTAAAATTATTGAAAAATTAAATTAGTTTAGCTGTTTGAAAGATGTCATTTAAATTTTTGTTCTTAAATTAATTTTAGTTGTAATTGATTTTTTGAAAAATAATTATTTGAATTCACAAATAATTTTTAAAAAATTAATTAACTAGTGGAAAGAATTATAAAATTTGTTTAGTAAAGAGTTTGAATTCAGCTAGTCTTGAGTCGTTTTTTAGACTCAAAATACGAAATTAAACAAATAAATATCGTTTTTTTATATTTTCTAAATCTAATCTTAATCCTATTTAGAGGGGAAGGAAAAAAGTGACTTTAGGGGAAATAATGAGAGTGTTGCTAATGAGTTTAAAACTCACGATTTAAGAAAATATAAGGAAACAAAATGATCGAATTAATTAACCAACCAAATATACTTATTCAATATCATCTCATTCTTAAATCGTGAGTTTTTTTTTATTTTTTTTTATTACAATATGGTTATAAGCATCCTTGAACAGTAGATCAAGGATGGATTGAGGAGGGGCTTCACGAGTGATGAGATCAAAGTGCTGTGAAGATCCGTACTTAACCAAGTGATCAGCTGGCAGATTAACATCTCGTGAAATCTAAATATCTATTGCCCATGCATGGTTATGTAGAGCTTCAATTGCTCAGACCAGAGAGTGAGAGCTAGTGTTTACGTCCTAGGAGTTAATAGGGGACACCGTTATGGAACCATCGGATTGAATTGATAAAAACTCAAAGCCAAAGAGGCCAACCGATGTTCATACCTTCATAGATAGACCAGAGTTCAGCTTGCAGCGGATTCGTAATGCCAATGGATCAAGAAAAAACCTGTGATCCAAGAGTTTTTCATAGCTTCATAGACAAACTAGAAATTTTCATATTTATTTATTGTTGAACTTAGGATATTTGAATTATTTATTATAGCCATTTGAATCATAAACAATCGCATTATATAGTAATTCTACTCTCTCATATCACATCGTCATCATTCAATGTTATATTATCATTTCTTGTTAAAATATATACAATATGTATAAAAAATGATGGTTTTAATTAAATAATCTATATAAGATAAAAAAAATTAGGAGAATATGTTACTAGAAAAAAATTACAATCTAATACAATGATTACAGTGAAAACTGAATTTATCATTTTAATATTATGAGTTATAATAAAAATTGTTATGTAAAAAAGTTGGTCATACTAACGACGAATTCTTTTAATATTACTCGTCATACGGAGAGAATGAGTTAATCTCTACTATAATAATCATCCTAGATTATAAAAACTTTTATTTCAAATTACATATTTTTTGTACATTATTCCTTTAAAAGAACCTTTAAAAGCCTAAAGAAAGAGAGAGAATAAAGTAATGTGTTCTTGTGGATCTCATTTACCGAAAGTTTTCCCTTTTATATGTTGAATTTTTTTTCTCTTTCCTGTAATATCAAAGAAAAAATAAGAAACTGAAGCAACTTTGCTTTGTACGTAGCAGAGTCTAAGAAAGAGGCGAGATTAGGAAAATATTCACCTCGGATAGAGTTTTCCGAGGAACTAAATTGACCAAAATATCCCTTCAGATGGACAGTTTACTTACGTGTCATACGCTGAGGAATCCCCGCGAGCCGAATATTTACGGACCCATTTCCCACGCTCTCGGTTCCAATTCAACGTGTGCTCACAGTCACACCTCTCTCCCTTGAGGTCTCCATTTCTCTTTCCGAGCACCAAAAAAAGAAAGAAAGAAAGATATTTAAATAATATTCCTGGCATCGCATCCAATCGCTCATCAGATCACGCGGAAACACTTTTAGTTCAACGAATTTAAACAGATCTGGAGAATCAGCAGGGCGTTCTTCCCCTTGACCGAGGTATCTCTACGGACTCGCCGATGTCTCCGTCGCCGGGGCATATCCGTAACTCTTCCTCCTCCTCCTCCTCCTTATACTCTGTAGAAGTTCCGGAAAAAAGAGAGCCAGAGATAGACACCGATGCTAAACAGATAGATGGTAGCGGAAACTCCAGGCGAGCCATCAGTTGCGACGGTTCTCGTGCTCAAGTGGATTTTGCATTGAATAACGGTGCCGTTGAGCAGCCAGGTGCTTTGAGTTCCTTTCATCGCCTTAACTTGGTTCTAGTATTATGATTCTAAATTCGAACGTTTTGTTGCACAGTTTCTTTCTGGACTTTGTCTACGATTATTTTCGCTCGGTCAAGTTTGACTGAAATTTCGACCTGATTTGACTTCCACCATTTTGTTGTTTCTTTCTATCTTTGATCTTTGAATGGTGGGGAACTGTAGTTGCATATTATTGCATAAATCCTTCGTTAGTCCCTGTTTGTTGTTGTTAAACTTGATAGTGTAATTTGCTATTTATTTATTTGCCGCAATAACAGTCAAGCACTGGTTTTCGCATCTAAATAATTTAAAGTTGCGAATTTATTTTGGGTATCTTTGGTGGGTTATAACTTTAGGCATCGGAGCCTTTACGTTGGATATTTCTTTAGTGATGCAAATGATAATGAATTTTGTATATAAAGAAAAAGACCTCATGTGGATGCTGTTGGGACAAAAATCGATTCTATGTCCGATGTAAGAGCAGTAAAGGGGAATGGAAGGAAAAACAACCAGGAATGACAGGAAGAAAAATTATGTTTTCAACATGTTGTGTGGTTTTCTGGAAAGAAAATGCAACGAAAATGAGGAATTTGGGATAGATTGTCAAATAGAACATTTCATTCACTAGAGTGGAAAGTTTTCCTTCTTTTGTTCTGTTTGTTTTCGTATTGAATGTTCTAACAATGAAACATCCCTTATTTTCCCTTTTCATTTCTATTATTTTTTTCCTCAAACTTAACTGGTAAATGCTGCCTCCCCTTATCTTCCATTTGGATTTAACAGTATACAAAAACGTAAGGGCTTATAGCTGTTAGGATTATCAAAGAACTATAGGTGGGATAAGTTTGTAATTCTGTCATGGGCCGTAGTCCTATTTCTAAGCTTTCATAGGAATAATCTATATAACTAAGCTTAAATTTTATGGTATTTATTCTCATTGTTATGTCCAGGTTTAAATTTCTTGTATTTTCTACTACATACAGGCACTGTTCATCGAAGTCTTTCTGAAGTTGGAACGTTGCAAATGGGCACTTCAAACATTGAAAAATTTGATTCAAGCCAGCCTAAACTAGTAAAATCAAAAACTGAGGCAAGAAGACCTCGGAACATACTTGCTGAAGAGGCAGCCGAGATTTTTGATAATAAGATATCTGCCCAAAAGAAGGTATCAATTTTTCTGAATGTTATTTTGATTTCATATGTTTTGAAAGAAGGATTACTTGGTTCTGGTTGATTTAATTTTGTCTCAGTTAGATAATTCTATGTTAAGAACTTTTAAATACAAAGATGCATATAAGTTCTTGGTGGTAGAATTGAAGACCTAATGGTTATAGAGGAGCGTATAAAATCTTTTCTTCTACATGAATGATTGGTTTAAGGATTTTGAAGCAGTGACATGGCTCACTGCAGTATATTATGTTGACTTGTAACGATGAAATGTGAATATGCAACCTATGCTGAACTTTGAATAAGGTTATTTAAAACATCATACAGTCAGGATTGATATGTTGAGGTGGTGATGGAAACGGTTCTGTCATTTACCAAAAAGAATTACAAGAAGAGATAAAATGGCCCTCCTCCTCATCAGCTTTTAAATAATGACAGTTTGGCCTTTGGTGATCTCTGTCCATGGGGATCAGATTACAGATGAAAAGTGATGTGATGTAGGGCTCCTTGCATCGTATCATCTATGAAAAGTGGGCTGCATATTTGAAGGAAGAGAAAAAAATGAGTTTATATAGTATGTGTTGGTATACTAGGTTTTAAAATTTGTTGGTATACATGAAGCAGGCTTCCAGTAGTTTGAAGGATTTCATGGTTCATGTTTATTGACTAGAATTTAATTATTATTGGGTAAACTCCATTTACACTCCTTGTGGTTTGGACCTTTCCGACATAGCACCTTGTGCTTTTTATCTCAATCAGGCCATTTTGGTAACATTCCATTCTTATAAGGGTTACACCATTATTTTAAATAAAATTGCAAAAAATAGCCTTAAGCTTGAAAACATTAGTCCTGTCTGACTTTGAGGCATTTTGGTGATTTTACCAGATGAAATTAATGCTATAATTCTGTGTGGGAGTGGAGCTATATAATGGGGGGCTATTTGGAGGGGGGAAATACCACCAGGGTTCTTGGTGGAAAAGGTCCAAAAGGAAGGGGGTAGATGGAGTTTATTATCCAACCATGTATCTTAAATATTTGTGGTTTGTTGTCCATATATTCGTCTGAACCTGCATGTTTACATCTGTGCTTTTTACTTTAGGGCTTTATGAATTAGCTGTAATTTAAGTTAATCTCTTTTATATTATGTATACAAATATTTTGTTATTTTAAAATCTTAATGAGAAAAATGCCGATTCTCATTGATTGTTTTAAATTATGGACTTAAATAAGTTACTAAATGTGTAATAAAATTTTTGATGGACTCCTAACAATTTGAGGTAGCAGTTTTACCATATGGTAGGACATAAGGAAGATACATGGAACTGGATGGGATAGTTGGTAGCAACTAGACAAAATCCATAGGAGATGGTAGAGTTGTTAATATTCCCTGTATAAGTATTTTTCCCCTTCCTTTTTGTTATGCATATATTGATATGTGTAGACACTCATTTTCGTCCATATTTCTTTATTTTATTTTATTTTGCACATATATATCTATATAATATATGTATATATAGATATATATGTGCAAAATAAAATAAAATAAAGAAATATGGACGAAAATGAGTGTCTACAATATGATTCACCAATTCTTTCTTGAAGAATACTCTTATGCATTTTTAGTACATCT